AAATTGGAAAAGAATCCCCCGAAACCAATTCACAAATACATTTCTCTACTCCCAAAATGGAAGAGAATACTCCCCACACATCCAAAATCCTTGAAGCTTTGAAACTCTAAAGCTTTCAAGCATCCAACCTCCCAAATTCAAGCAAATCCCGAAGGATCAAGAAAGCCCTCTTCGTTCTTCGTCAAATCCTCCTTCAAGATCAAGCGCTAACGGCCCTTGAAGAAATTTCTCCTTCAAGATCAAGCCCCAACGGCCCTTGAAGAACTTCCACCAATTCAAGATCAAGCCTCGACGACCCTTGAAGAAAGTGTTCAACAAATCCACACAACTGTTCATCCTAAGATCAAGCCCCGACGACCCTTTTGGATCAACAACATCACCAAATCCACATAACTGTTCATCCTAAGATCAAGCCCCAACGGCCCTTTGGATCAACAACATCAACAAATCCACACAATTGTTCATCCTAAGATCAAGCCCCAACGGCCCTTTGGATTAATAACATCAACAAATCCACACAACTGTTCATCCTAAGATCAAGCCCCGACGGCTCTTTTGGATCAACAACATCACCAAATCCACATCCGTTCATCCAAGATCAAGCCCCGACGACCCTTAGATCAACAACATCAACAAATCCACACATCCAACCGTTCTTCAAGATCAAGCCCAAAAGCCCTTGAAGATCCGTTCATCACCGTTATTCAAGATCAAACCTTAACGGCCCTTGAACAAACACTCATCCTCAAGATCAAGCCCCAACGGCTCCTTGAAGATCCGCTCAAATCCACCTTCAAAGATCAAGCCCACGGCCCCTTGAAGAAACTTCCAACAGTTCATCCAAGATCAAGCCTCGACGGCCCTTGGATCAACGAAACATCCACAAATCAACACCTTACGGAGATCGAATCAGAGGATCAAATTTGAGAGAGATTGTAACCCAAAATCATCAAACACCAAATATTATTTTGTGCACGTTGTTCTTGTCTCTTTCGTTTTAGGAATTTTCCGTGTTCACAGTATCATTCCAATAGAATAGGCAAACTAAGCAAGCAAAATTTTATTTTATTATTTTCTTTCACCTTTGATATTTACATACATATATATATATATATATATATTGTCTTTTTGGCCTCACATGGAATACTTTATTATAAATAAATATGTCATAATACGAGTGGTTGAATATGTGAAAAAAAAATCCAACCACTTGTACTGTGATATTTGATGTACCATGCTATGTTCCTGGCACACTAAAAAATTTATCCATATGTAGAAATATGCAATATTGCCTAGATTGAGGGAGTAGGCAAAGTTTACCTACTTAATTGACAACTTTATTGGAGCTTAATTTTGCCTATATAGCTCATCACAAGAGTTTAGTTACGAGTTTGAATATTTATTTGACTACTTTATTGTTGATGCTGTGAGATTTGAGATCTACGTTATTAATATGGCTTTTATATCCAAAATTACATAAGAGTTAGTAAGCAAGTTGTGCATGGCACGTTGATGTTAATCATCTCCTATTATATGCACATGCAGAGCAGGAGAGGTGCAGTGGTCGTAGTACGAGAATGGCGGACAAAATGTCACGCTTCCCTTAATTTTTTGGAACCTATAAAACTTTGTATCATCATAGCACCAACTTCCTCGAATCTAAAAATCTTTTTCAAGTTTTCAACTCGTACTCGAGTGTTGATTACCTTCTTCTATTTATTCTACAAATATTGCAATCAAACTATTCAACGGATTTTAAAATAAAGGCTTGAATATGGGATAAAAAGTTTTCTTTGATCGAAGAAATAGATTTGATTACAAAATGGTCTGAGAGAAAACTATACTAATATACCGTTGATCATGGTAATTTATGTAATTAATTTAAACTAAAAAAGTAATGTAATTTTATACGTAAAAGAATCATTATGAATTAAAAGGTAGCACTTTACTTTCTGAACTAATCTAATTACCATATTTCGGACAAAAAAAAAAACCATATATTTGAGAATGTATTTGACAAAATTAACCGTGTAAGAAGAGAAATATTTAAACTTGAAACAATGAAACACATTTCAATAATATGAAGAGATAGTTTGTTTGTTGTACAAAACTAATTAACATTCACTTTTCTACAACACAAACAAAACAATAATCCATCCAAAACCAAAATTTCTTATATCTTCCTTCCTCTCTTGGCCCCTCACAAGTTCACAACTGACAGGCTCACAATATCAAACCTCGAGTCCTTGTCCATAATCTCTATTGATTCGAAGGCTCTAAGTTTTCAACTCCCACAATTTAGATGTTTAATCATTGTCACCTAATCTTTTATTTTATATCTTATGTTTTTCTATGCTTTTTTTGACTCTCTAAGTTTGTTAATGATTTGGTTGTTACAATAATTAATCAAAGGAAGAAATATGTGAGCATAAATAGCAACACCTTGAAGGATGGGTGTGAAATCGTAATTAAAGTTTAATTTGATGAAGCACAAACAGATTTTTATATATTTTACAATCCGAATAACAAAATAACTTCCACGCATCGGTTGAATACTGGTCGATGGTTCTATCACTTTTATTAGTTATTACGTGTTTCAAAATGATAAACAGTTACTACTTTCAATATGAATTCAACAATTTGCATAATAAAGTTCATCGACCATCAAGGAGTTGTAACCAACTTGACCTACTAGTTATTAATATATGAACACCGGTTTCCAGTACAGCAGCGCCAGTTGCTGCTTACTACTCCCTAATAACAATGCTATTTACCATGCACCCTTGCAAAATCATCCTCAGGAGTCAAAAACAAAATAATTTTTTTTTATTCAATGCCCATTTTCTTGACAATCATCTGCAATTGATACAGATACAGGGAGACACGATCTTACTTGAACAGGATGCAGAGTGACCAAAAGGGACCAAGGGGAGCTAGGGCAAAAAAATCTACTGAAAAATCCAGGGCTAATCCATAATAAGCCCTGCGGTTTCAGAAACCCCCACCCCTTCCCCACCGCCCTCTTTGCAGGCCGGGAAATTAAATCAACCTCCCACCCCCTCTCTAATTAGGTTGGACCCGGCCCCCTTAGGCCATCTCTAACCGAAGGGTCCAGATGGCCAGAGGGCTGAAAATAGCCTTAAAATCGTCTCCAACCGAGGGCTAGGCCAGAGGGCTCTGGAATCTGGAAGGGCCCCACGGGATCATAGAGGGCTGGAGGGCTGGCTGCTTCCGGCCAGCCAGCCAGCCCCGGGCTGGCTATTTTTTATTTTATAGTTTTGTTATTCCTGTCGGTTATAACCGACAGGAATACATACTATTATTTAATATACTAAATAATGGTGTATTCCTGTCGGTTATAACCGACATGATTGTTTTAAAAAAAATTCAAATGAAACGGCTACTAGCCGTTGCATTTGATTTAATTTAATTTTTTTTTTACATTATTATTATTATTTTTTATTTACAAAATTTTTCATATAACTTCTATTTCACAAAATTTGTTTCATATTTTTTTTAAATTCCATTTTTTTCCTATAACTTCTATTTCACAAAATTTGTTTCATATTTTTTTTTTCCTATAACTTTTATTTCACAAAATTTATTTCATATATTTTTTTTAAATTCCATTTTTTTCCTATAACTTTTATTTCACAAAATTTATTTCATATATTTTTTTTAAATTCCATTTTTTTCCTATAACTTCTATTTCACAAAATTTACTTCATATTGTTTTTTAAATTCCATTTTTTCCTATAACTTCTATTTCACAAAATTTGTTTCATAATTTTTTTAAATTCTATTTTTTTCCTATAACTTCCTAAGCCATTATACAACATTAAATTAAATTAAGTAACATGAAACAACATTAAACAATATGAAACAACATTAAATAAAATTAACCAACATAAAAATTATACAACATGAAACTTAAACAACATTTTAGTTGTAGTTTTTAAATAATAAATTATGTTTGGCCCTATGGCCATTTGGCCCTCGGTTGGAGACGGTTTTTTGTGATAGGGCTAAAACGAGCCCTCTGGCCCTCGGTTGGAGATGGAGGCAAATATGGCCCTGTACTGTTCATTAAAATATTAATATCTTGGAGAATCTTGGAGGGCCAGAGGGCTAAAACGAGCCCTCTGGCCAGCCCTCGGTTAGAGATGGCCTTATTAACTCACAAAAATAAACAAGAAAATGTTCTTCATTTTCCATAATATTATGTCATAAATTGATTATCTTCACTATCAATTTATTACTGTGAATGTGAAGTGAATTTGGCATTCCTATATTCCCGATGCAATTTTCTCCCCCCTAACCAAGGAGAATTTTTTTATAGTAACAGGAACACGGATGATATACCATGTGTTTTTATGTAAGTAGTGGAAAATTATATTTTTTAAGTTATTAACTTTTTGACACACATATCTCTCTATTTATGTAATGACACGTGGTGTACCATCTCGTATGACTGTCACACTAAAAAATCTTTTCTAACGAAGATTGAATATATGACAAAAACAAGAAGATAAGTGCGGAAAGGGAAAATTAAAATGATGCATTATTTTTATTGTCTAACGTTAGTTTTTTTGGTTGTTAAAGAAAATGTACAGTCTCAATCCATTAATTTGCACTATAATAACAACTTTATTATTTTTCAAGCGAATTCATTTTTTTTCTGTATTTTTTATTAACTATCTTTAACTCGTTTTTTTTTTTTTGGCTGAATGATCTTTAAATGTTGATTAAAAAAAGAATGATTATGATCATTGATTATAAAATTATTAAGATAAAAATATATTAATCACATTTGATTGGAAAAAGAGGTGCACCTAAAATGATTTATATTGCACCGATCGAATACGCCCACACTAATGTCCCTCGTCATGAAATATGGTCCCTCGTTTTAAGAGGTGGATGCAAACATTGATTATGTTTTAAATTATTTTATTGAGTGAGAGAGGGTGAGAGAGTGTGAAATTGCATATAAATATCCAATAATCACACAGACCTTTTGGGTCCCTCGCTTGAATTGTGTCTTTATCCATACCTTACCTTTTTGTCCTTGTGTCTTCTTCTCCCACCTTTTTCTTTGTCATTTTCATGTCTACCTCTTACAGTTCGGCTCCATCATCAACTTCATCATCTTCGTCTTCCTCCTCATCCCATGACGGAAATGGAAACGACAGTGCCAATGCAGCTGGTCCTAGCAGTGTACGAAGAGGTGGTGATCTCGAAGAGCCATCCTCCTCCAGACGACGTTCCGTAAACGAGGTCTGGCCTGAGCCTTTTGTGGAAGCCCTCGCTGCCCAAGTTGCCATTGAAGCCTCTCGCTCCGTCGGACGACTTGCGGCTGCTCCAGCCCTTGCTAATGTGTTTCAGGTACGTTTTCTGATAAGATTAAACAATCTTTAATACTCTACTAATACTTTTTGTTCTTCTGGCTAATTAACTATTAACACATGAAATCTTTTGATTAACTAGTTGTGTTGCAATGTGAAATATGTGAAAAATTGTGTGCTTGTTATATAATTCTGATTATTTTGGGAGATCTTTGGCATGGTACGCAGCGTTAGAATCCGGCTAGGTCTTACTGAGAAACTGATGGTTCTTATTCCAAAATGGAGAAAATATTAGTCTAGTCAAAGAGCATCATATGCATAAATACACTAGAAAAACCTGCCAGACCAAAATTAATTCAATTGATGGTTCCCCTAAATATTAAATATATTAAAAAAAAAGGGTTATGGGTTTATTTTTCCCTTTATTTGTGAAAACATGAGAAATTACCAATAAACGAGTATAACGGGTTCTGGGTTTTGTTCTAGTCCTCTAGATAGTATAGTGGCACCTTTTTACAGAGCGAAGGATTCGAGCATGAGCGCCGAGAGGAAAACACACTGTTCTGGTATACTAGTTGGTTCAGCTACATTCGAGAGAAGAAACTCTTTTGCTTCAGAAAGTAATTGCTTTTTTGAAGGGTCATGCTCTCAATGCTCTTCTATGCAAAAATAATTTAATGTCCCTTTCACTAGTAGGAGGTTTGTGTTTGGCTTCTTTGGCCTTTCATTTCTTTCCCTTTCCAAATCTAACGAAAAACGGTTATTTTGGCTTTAAATTCCCCTTTTTTTGCCCTTATGAGCTCTAGCAATCCCTCTCCCTCTCTCTACTTTTTTGACTGAACTTTTCTACAAATTTTATTGGGATGCCTTTCTTCCTCTTTTTCTCTCGGATAAGGACCTTTAAAGCTTGGTTTTATCACTTAGCAGTGTTTGGAAATTGGAATTATATAGCAAAATTTGGGGAGCTGTTAGACTGGATGGATTGGATTGTACATAAAACTTTACGTTTCTATATCTAGCTAACGTTTGTCTTGCAGTTATATTTTCGCTGCCATAGCCATTAATGTTCTTTTTTGTTTTGGTGTTTTTTAGTACTATAAGCAAGAATATTATAGTCCACTTTAATTCAGACTAAATTGGAGTTCAAAGTACAACAATAGTCATGCCAGTAACGTACAAAAATTCATCTTCTGTTTTTATCTTTTTCTATAATTAATATTATAAACCTGTTATGCAAGTCCACAAGAACAAGATTCCAGGGATCTATTACCGCTGGGTCTTTTTTTAGATTATTTTATGTTTTTGGAATTTACAAGATTATGTTTTTGACATTTAAAAAGTAACAAAACAGAATGGTACTGGATAAAAACAGTATTACCATCTAATATTACCACTTTAAAAGTCTAACTTGAATAAAATGTAAGATGAAAAATTTGAACTCGAAAGACTAGTGGGTTAATGAAAAACCACATCCATCAAAGAAATTCTCTACTCTAATACTCTTTCAAATTATGGATGAAAATGATTTAGAATCTTAAAAAGGAATTTCAAGTCAGAACTTCATGCCCTAGAAAATGCAAAAAGTTCGAAGAAGCTTAGATTGAGGAGCGGGTTGAGATGTCGAGATCCTGACAGTTGATGGGTGTTGAAGGGCCATGTCAAAAAAAACCTTGCATGCAACTGATGCAACTGCATATGTCATAAAGTATATGGAGACCAAGTTTCCCAAAAAAAAAAAAAAAAAAAAAACAGAAAGAGTACATGGAACCCAATGCTTGTTTGGTTTACAAGGTGATGTCTACTGGTCAACTCCAGAGGTGTGCATGTCTCTTGCTACTTCCAATGCAATACCTTCTGGTGACTTCTATTTCTCTATGTTTGCTTCTGATGACTCTTATTTGCTTTGTCCTTTCTTGAACGTTTGAAAACTGTTTTGGAGCCTAGCTAGAGTGATGAAATTGATTAACCTATAGTATGTTAAATTTAAAGTGATTTCACCCTTATTGCTAAACATATTGTGTGAATGGGTACATATGCTTGAATAAGTATAATCTTCTAAGATTAAGAAGGAAGTTACAACCATTGTAACGAAGTTTGTATTCTTTTGTCTCACAATTTGACATGTTTGCTGATATATTTAAATTTACATATTATATTAAGTTGTGTTTTTATTTAAGAGCGCAATCTCGTTTTGTGCATGTCAGTGGCAGACATTGAGCGTTAACATATTTCTTGATTTTGCAAAACAAAATCTCGCACATGATAGATTTCGATGTGATTTAGATCAATATTTTTGTGAACATAAAATAATATCACAAATTACATAATAAGCATGAAACCATTACCCAAGAACAAGAACATGATGGGGTCTCCAAGAGCAAGAAAAACCAAAAAAGAAAATAGAAAAGTAAAGAATATCCAATTAGAGCGGGAAAACGTGAGTGGTACACGCACGGGTGGGATTTAGAGGAGTCAAAGAAAGTAGGGGTAAGGGATGAAAAGTTCTCTGCTTTTTGACAAGACAGGCTTTGGCTACACGTTTCTTGGAATTGAAAGGCAACTATGTGTGGGGAAGCACGCAAAATTTGCAATCCTATTTTTTTTTTTATGTCAAGATATATGTATATGTTTGTTCATAGTTTTCTAGGTGGTCGATCTTTGTCCATTTCATGGTCTCTAGCTAGGTACACTAATTGTTTCCCATGGATATTGAATTAATGATATTACAGTGTTATATATAAAGTCTCCTATTAACAATTATGTATTTATATCTGTATCAAAAGTTCTAGCATAAAATCGTCCTGCTGAGTTTAATGAAATTAATTAGAACAATAATCTGATTACCTGCTAAGTCAAAGTTCGAATTTCTATAACCGAAATTAGATGTATTTATTGTAACTAGTAAAACTAGAAAATCACATATAATCTTGTGGAATGCAAATTGATAGAGCAGTCTTGTAATTGGAGGTGCCATATATGTATTATATATATATATATATATTATATGTTGTAAGACGTTGGATTGGGTAATAAAAAATGTAGAGCGCAGAGAGAGAGAGGTGTTAGTCTCTAGTGTCCATGACATCAAATAAAAAGCTCATACAGCAGGCAAGCAGGTAGCAACAATCCACACAGACGTAGAAGGAGAGGAAATAGGATTCTCTATTCCTATTCTCTTTCATCCTCCTCTTCTTACATTTTATTTTTTATCTTATTAATTTTATAAAAAAATTAATATAAAATGTTGACGTGATCTGTAACGATAAGGTAAGAAAAATGAAAGAATCCTCCGAAGGAGGGAGGGAGATGAGAGATTTGCAGACGAAAATTGTACACCACACAGCTGCTGCTACTTTATTTAGACCTTCTCTGACTGATGTCTTTTCCTCCTTACTCATCTCTTACCTCCCCGGCTCCTATTCTTATGACGTGATTTGTAACGAGAAGGAAAGAGAAATGAGAGAATCCTCCGAAGGAGGGAGGGAGATGAGAGATTTGCAGACGAAAATTGTACACCACACAGCTGCCACTTCTTTATTTAGACCTTCTCTGACTGATGTCTTTTCCTGGTCACTCTTCTCTTACACTCCCCGGCTCCTATTCTACTATTATGTACTCTCCATCGGGCTCCACCTTTTAGGCCCGCTCACTCTCTCCCTCTCTCTCTCTCTCTCTCTCTCTCTCTCTCTCTCTCTAGGGTTTACGCGCATGGCTTCAACTGTCTCCTCCGTGGGGCTAGGGTTTTGCATTTGCTTCTCTTCAGTCCACGGTGATACTTTCTACCCGTAGTTAATTTGCCCTAATATGTGCGAACAGCCCAAAAACCTCAACCCACGTACAAATAGTAAGAGATCTAAATCTTTAATCGCTACATTTTCCCCACTTCCTGGCACGACGAAATTTTACCAACTATTAGAGAATTTTTAACCTGAAGAACTAATAAAATATCAAAGATATGTTAAAATACAAAGTGTTGTTGAAGATGTTAAGTTACATTAACTGGTTAAATAGCTTTTTGGCATTGTTCCCTAGTTATTATAACTAAAATATTAGTTCAGTGAAATTTCTTTTGCACTTTGGAAGAATTTTGAATCCTATCTCTATAATTGGTTAAACAAAATGAATGATACTTTACGTTCCAAGTTGGTTACTAGTTTTAATCCTTGTTAAACTAGCGAGTGAATAGTGTCATGAAATTATTGTAGCTACTCAATTAATTTTTTATGTCAATAACACTCTATTTTAACAAACTTTAAATATTTATTATTAACAATTCAAATCTAATTCACTCATTTTCTCTTTCTTTACTCTTTGGTCACGAGTCTATCATTGAGTTTTATTAAATTTTTAACATTTAATACAAGAACCTTAACTACATTTAAAGAGTTTGACACTGTTCTCTTGCTATTTTAACAAAAAATTAAAATTTTATCCTGGAGATGATTTTATGGAGTTTTTTTTTTTTTTTATAAATAAAATTTTAGTGGTTTTATGGCTTCTCCGGAGATGCTCAAAGTTGAATTAGTCGGTTTCTCCTTCATGTATTGTATTATTACAGTCATTCCTTTAACTGGTTAAAACACATACCCATCAAATCTGAAACCTCTGTTAAATACCCATAATAACCCTACCTACTCATGCATGCACTCCCATCTCTCCGCATATAATTAGAAAGCATATATTTTATTAATTTTTTTATTTTTATTGCATGCACAAAAAATAGAGAATTCATATGCGTTTTAGTTTTCATGTTTTCCATTCAATATAACGTGCATGCATGAACGAGCTGTAACCTACTATTACTGAAACTGATCGCGTACGTGACATTTTTCCGAGTGCAGGTTTGTTCGACGTGGCGCGCCGTCTCGCGCTCCGACCTTCTCTGGCGTCGCCTTACCCGCCGTATCTGGGGCCGGACAATTCTCCTTCGCGACAGGTGGCGAGACGAGTACGTCTACTGGCATCGGACGGCCACAAACTTCCGAACCCGGAGGTCCACCCACACGACCCTCCACTTCGATCCGTCCGACGTCGAAGACCCCGACGGCCTCACCTGCCGATGCCTCACCCTCTCCGACGCCCATCTCGCCTGCGGCTTCGCCGACGGCACCGTCCGCCTATTCAACCTTGCCACTCGCCTGCATGTCAGCACCTTCCGGCCCCATCCCCGCGACCGCCTCGGCCGATTCTCCCGCGCCGTTACCGGCATCGTCATAACAGACACCGCTCTCACCTTCGCATTGCTGGACGGAGACATCCACGTAGCGATCATCAACGGCCCGCAGATCACTCGTAGGGCCCACTTGGGCGACGTGGTAAATGATGGGGTTTTGGTTGATTTCACTGGATCCGAAAGATGGTGGGTCGGGCTCTATGCGGGTGTTCCGGGTCGGGCGTTTCACATTTGGGATTGTTTGACTGAACAGTTGACTTTCGTCGGCGGGACATTGACGGATCCGGAGGCCGTGATGGGGTGGCACATGCTAACGGAGATGACCGAGTTCGTAGGCCGAGTCCGAGTCACGAGTCACGAAACGGCCGTGGCGTGCACGAGCGTGCGCGTGATTGTCTTCGATCTGAGGAATCAAGGGTTTGTGTTGAGCGAGGAGGAGTACAGGAGAGGGATAATTGTGACTGCGGCTGATGTGAGCCGTACGGCGTTCGTTATAGTGGGGAGGAGGGGTTTGGCTAGCGTGCGCCGGACTGACACGCTGGAGGAGGTCTGTAGGTTTAGCGTGACTAGGGCGTCGCAGATGGCGGTGATGGGGTGCATGAACGAAGTGTACGCGCTAATGTGCGGCGGTGGGGTGGTGAGGGTGTGGGAGGGGGAGAGAGGGGCCTATCTGTACAGTTTCATGGAGATGATTGAGGAAGTCAACGCTTTCGTATGCGATGAACGACATGTCGCAGCGTGTTCCGGGGGTACGACGCTGCACCTTTGGGACTTTGGTGCAGCAGATTGATTAGTGTAGGGGGTTAAACATAACTTTGGTATAGAGTAAATGTTAGATTTATCAGACATTAGAGTATCACATATGAAATGTGATAATGTATTTGATTAAAATTGAATGAGATAGAGTCATTGATTGGTGCGTATTTACAGATCAGCTGCCACACTATGCGTGAATCAAATATGTATTAGTTTGGTTCCTAAACAGTCCATCATGCCTTTTTCTTACCAAAGGAGTAAGTGGACGTGTATTGAATCAGGTTGATATGAACAATCCATTAAGCTTATTTTTTTGATTAAATGTGTAGGTAGATGCATATTGAGTGAGGTTGATTAATACAATTTATCGAGTTATTTTTTTACATTTTGACTAGTTGAATAGTTTTTACGTTAAAATAATTCAGAATGGTATGTCGTTATTTAAAAACAAAACAAAACTTAGTTAATGGTTAAATAAATAGGGAGATGATGAGAGTGACGAAACAAGGCAGGTAGATCCGCAGAGTAGGGAGGGAGGAAAGCAAAATGGAGATTGTGTTGTGATGTCCATGGCCTGTAGGCCGTGGGGTTATGTAACGTAATGTAATGGAGGAAGGAAACTGACATAAGAAGTGTACTTTTGACTTGGCTAGTGATATCATCAGATATGCTGCAGAATGATTTATGAGAGAGAGAGAGAGAGAGAGAGAGAGAGAGAGAGAGAGAGATTATGTTGACCTGGCCCCACACACAAAACAAACGAGGAGAGCTTTCTTTTCTAGTCTAGTCTAGTTTTGTTTTGTTCAGGTTCTAGTTGCTTGCTCTTGTAATATTTGCAGGCTTTTCGGCATTGTTTTTTAAGAAAAATAATGAAAAGGGTTTGAAAACTTTGAGTTTTAATGATAAGGACAAAATAAAGGGTAAAGTGAATAGTACCAGGATTGACTTTTTACTGTAAAAATGTGGTTTTTCATTAAAGTGAACAGTACCAGGTGCTTTTCGTTAAAGTTCTCTTGTTTTTTCTTCTAAAACACATTTCTGTTTAATCATATATGTTACTTCTGTTAATTTATTCAATACGATGGTAACTAAATAAAAAAAAGTGTTGAATGGCTGATTATGGGGTAATTTAAGCTAGTCGTATTAACCGTGGGAAGCCATTGTACTTTTTACTTAGAATCATGTAAAAGCATGTGACAAACATAATGTAGTCTTGTTCCCGTTATTTACTCAACGAGAGCAACCCACTGTATAGAGAGGGAAATAAGGTAATAGGAAACAGAAGCGACGCGTAAGGCATGCATTCAGACCTGAAGATTCAGTATTCTTTTGACAATATGTTGTTCCTCAATGATATTCTTAAGCAATTCCTTGTGCTCTTCACTTGAGTGGAACCGCATGAAAACTTTGAAACGCTTGTATACTTCTCTTTCTTCAGGTGCAAGGCCCTTCTCAAAAGGGTCGGGGTAAAGCAGATTTCTTTCAAGTACGAAATTCTTCCTACGTTTCCTCTCATCAAGGCTGCCAAATTCCCACATATTATTTGAGCATATCAAGGGTAAAAAAAAAAAGAAAAAAGAAAATTAGACAGCAAGGCTAACTCGTTTTAGTGATGAGATAACAGTATTACTTGTATGAAAATTTTTGTGACATTTGCTGCCTAGCATTTGCAATAACTATGACAACGAAATAAAGTTCTGTATAAATTTTCTGAACGTAAAGAAAATAATCACTTCATTTTGTTAAAACTTTGAACTGTTCCCCTCCTCATAATTGCTTTGAATTTGAAAATAGACCCATCAGCCTTAATCTATCATAGTAGCCATATAAATACCGGTTTGCGTAGACATGCAAAACTCGTAGTTTCAATTCACGGTCAGCATTAGTGTCAGTATCCTTGAATTCCATATCTGCCAGAATCTGCTCAGCATCATTGTCATATTCAATTTCAAACTCTTGCCTCTTGAAATTATAGCCACATAGTTCTGTCATAGAAGGTCCCTCTTCCACTAAACTCCTTAGTTTTTTTTCTCCAACGCTTCGGTCAACCTGAGTTTCTGCTGATAACATAACATAAAATTGAGCTTTAAACCAACTACATGATAAATACATAAGTATATAAATATATATCATGTACAACATGAATATTTAAGTGACAACAAATAATCTGTGTGGAAAAAACTTCTGGGCAATAAAGTTTACAGAGATACATTACCAATGCTTAAAGAAAGTCACTGAAATTCTAAAGACATGTAAAAGTAGATATGCGTACGTTTACATATGCAATAATCGTGAAACAGAAAGTAACCATAAAATCATACCTTCCACTTTACTGACTTTAGTCTCGTCCTTAATCTGCTTTTTATTGGATGCCTTCTTTACAGCACCTGGGACCAACCCTTTGGCAACATCTGATGCAAAACAGAAGATCAGACATTTCCAGTCATGTGTAATCACATATGACAAAAATGAGATTGCTCAAGAGCTAAAAACTGCCTCAAGAATGTTAGTTGGTGTACCAGCAGTTGAGTGGGACGATGATTTGGAAGTTGGATTCTTCTTTGATTCTTCACATCTGATCAAGAAAATTAAGAAACAAAATTAGACAAGAAGATATGGAACAAGCGCTTGATACTAACGTAGATACAGAATATAATAAAAAAAAACCATACTTGATTCCTGCAGAAAAGGGACACTTCTTTCAATGTAATCTCCACAAGCATGGGAACTTCTGCAGATAAAGAAGAAAAAGATGAGACAGACATTCTAATTAATTCAAAGGATTATCACTATCTATGACAAACAGATGAAACAGAGCATTGGAAAACAATTCGTTGATCCTTTGAATATAAATTGCTTATTATAAGATCACTTAAGCTACTGAATGGTTTGATCTTAAACTATTGAGGCATCTTAAATCATAAATCATACACCAAAGCATAACCGCTTTCAGGCCTCACCTAATATGGACTCAATGTGAACTAACCTTTCTTGATTTCATCAGACCCCTTAGCCAAAGCAAGAAGCTCCTCTCTGCTCTTTCCCATAACATGAGACATGTCCTAAGGGGATATCATGAAAACTATTGTAAGAATTTTTGCTTTTTATATAATTTATGTGTGTATCACGTGTGGCGTGTGGACATGCATTAATTAGAACACTAGTCTTACTGGGAGAGGAAAGTATGGAGAGTTCATATATATAGCTTTATAATGATCAATACATTGTTGTCTGGTTTTCGTTCCAACATGTTCAGAAACTTCAGTCCAATTCCCAAATCCATACATTTCAATACCCTAAACAGCATGATCAAAGAAAAAGTGATAGTAGACAAAATTTATTAGTTTCACAGGGGAAAAATAAATTAAGTTTATCATAATAACTGAAAGAAGAAATCAGTTTATTCAATACCTCGAGCAGTAGCATCTCTTCATCTACATTCCAGTCTGGACAAATAAGTGGAAAAGCCAAATTGTCCTGTTTAAAAACCAAAAAGTCCGCAAATGCATGCTTAATTAATAGTCCATGCTTTATTGAAAGCATCTCCTATATAGTCAAATGAAATAACAAGCTCGAAAAATTACTACATACAGATTTCAGGTGAATCTAAATGGGGCTGTTGCTTGCATTCTAAGGAAAACATTCTTATTTGCAGGCAGTATATAGAGCCTCAATTCGGGTCAGAAAACCGAATCAATCTTTTCCCTTTTAATGCATTTTACTCTAAGGTCATCCCAGTCTCGCCTTTTTTTTCCATTTCCGGATTCTAAATTCCGCTCTAGCTATACTCAAAGCTTAAAAATTCAAAATTTCTTCAAGCAATTTCAACTAGCCTAAGATATCAGAAAGAAAGCAACTTTGAAAATGTACAGGGGGACTGACCATAACCCTGTAAGGGTGATTGCATTTGTGAGGTGTAAGCTCAGCTTCAACAGAGAAGCACTCAATGCAAAGGTCAAAATCTGGACACACCACACACTTTATCCGAATTTTCCCAGACATATCTTTGTTGCAGTAATTGCAAAGGTAGAAAGCACCTTTGGGTTCGCTGATTTCTTGGGCCACAGGTTTCTGAGCTGTGCTACTGTTCTCCGCCACCTCCGCCCCCGAAGCCGTTCTCTTTCTTTTTCCCCTACTGCAAATTATCCAACAAATAAACAACTTTCTGTGAGACATAATTGGGAAATTTGAATTGCTTAATTATCTGATAAAGCCTGAAAATTTGCAGCGAATTGGTGAAAATTGCACTGACATCTGATTGTGATTGTCAACGGCGGCCTGAGAGACCGCGCGGGACCGACCCATCGGTTCAATTTCACCAACGAACCGAATGCAAAACCCTAGAAAATGAAAAACCCTAATTTTTCAACAGGTGAAGATTTGGGAAATTTCGGTTAGGGCCAGTTGATGTTCTGGATGAAACGGGTACGGGTCTCATCCCCTCACCGGCAATGTGCGCGCGCCACGTCATCGTCTACTAATCTGATGGTTGAGAAAAGTAATACGTAGAGCATATATCGTCCGTTGGATTTAGTTCAGGACACGAGGCGTTTAACTAGAGCGTCTCACAGAATAAAAGATGGGGGAACATTCCTTCCATTAAAACCTCGTCGTTTTTAGAGATGCAGTTCCCGCTAACAGTCTTTCCCTCTGCATCTACTCTCAGCCGCAGCATCGCCGCCGCCGTCGCCGACTCCGACTCTCACTCATTAGCATCGTCTCTGCCCGGTAATTAGTCCTCATTGCTTGTTAGTAATCGTTGAAAAGTTCACAATTTTTCACTCCAATTGGCTGCCCTTTACTTTGAGCTATTTGTTTACGTTGATTGAGCAAACTGTAGAGTTTGTCTGTGACATATGAGCGCTTAGGATTGCCGCCTTTATTTTTAGTTTTGAATTTATTGCTTTGATTATTTTTATATACGTGTTATGTTGCTGTAATAATGATTTTTTCTTGATATTTATGAAGTTAATTAGATGAGAAATGTTTTTCCATATCATATGTTCAGAAATGGTGGGATTATCCATAGGAGAAAGAAAATCATTTTATAGAGGGTGGCATTGCTCAGGACATTCGTTCTGATGGCCGAAAAAGACTGACGCCTCGGCCCATCAATGTCAAAACTGGAGTCATTTCCCAGGTTAATATCTGTCATATGTTTCACTAAAAATAATGGATTTTATTTTTTGGTGTGACATGAAATTTTACTTATTTCGTTATAATTTCCGTTCTTTGTGGCCGTTGCCCAGCCAAATGGCTCGGCAAGGGTCAGGATGGGTGCTACAGATGTCATTGCCAGTGTGAAGGTATAACTGCGGTCTTGATCTTAAGGGCATACTTACTCTTACATGCTATTGGAATGTCCTTGATCAAATTTAGGTAATTTGTTAGTCTAATTATTTGAGCTGCCCCTGTTGTTCATACTATCATATTTGCTGGTAATGTTGACCGAGTGCAGGCTGAACTTGGAAGGCCAACTGCACTGCAACCCGACAAAGGAAAGGTCTTTATAAATGTTGATTGCAGTCCAACTGCAGCACCAATGTTTGAGGTTAACACTTTTATTATCTGCTTCCTTCTCATGTTCTACTTTGTGAATTGAGGTTATATAGACATCTTGCTTTCTTCACGATCCTGTAGACGGTTTACTACTCTGTTTTTGTTGAATTCACGCTCTGATAAAATACGAAGGCACTATATCTCAGTTTATTGTTCGTTGTTCATTAGAGAATCTGAACTTCTCCTTTTGGTACGAATAGCTGGTCCACTGCAGAGAATGAATATCTATTTTGCTTTTGTAGGACCAATGCATTTATACTTATTGTAAAGCTGTTGTTTTTTTACTTCTGCAGGGTAGAGGGGGTGAGGACCTGTCAGCAGAACTCTCGGTGGCTCTTCGATGTTGCCTCTTGGGTGGTGAAAGCGGATCTGGTCTGTTTTCTCTTTTGGCAATGGATTCTCAGTTGAGCGTATTTTAATCCAATTGCGGAGTTGAAAATATAGGTGCCTTTGTTTGTCTCAGGTGCTGGAATTGATCTCTCCTCTCTGGTAGTTGTGGAAGGAAAGATCTGTTGGGATCTTTACATTGACGGCCTTGTTGTCAGTTCAGATGGGAATCTTCTAGATGCCCTAGGTGCTGCTATAAAGGTACTTGATTTTCTTTATACATTACTTATATAATGTCATTGAACATAAATAAATTATAAAGTAAAAATAATTCTATCCTGATATTTCCTAGTTTGAGCTTAGTGCTCTTGCAAACCAGTCTTTATAACGATTCGTATCTTGTGATGGCAGCAGGTATATTTGACAACTCAGAGTCTCTAAAGTGTCTTCATAATTTCATTGTCGATCTTAATTTTTACACATTAAATTTAGTGTAGCTAGCAAGGAACAAGAGTTAAAGTGCACTTAATTGTTGTTTCCAATAAAGTGAAAAAATGAAAGGAAAAGAAACTGATGTTCCCAAAGGCTGCTTTGAGCGATACAGGCATCCCAAGAGTAAATGTTGCAGCTGGTGCATCAGGCGATGAGCAACTGGAGGTTGATGTAAGTGACGAGGAATTTCTGCAGTTTGACACATCTAAGGTCCCTGTCATAGTTACATTAACAAAGGTGACAAAATTTAACCATCCCTTCTGTCCTTGGCAAATTGCAAATGCTTTTTAGCCCTGTACTGAGTCATGTGCATATATTTTTCAGGTAGGTAAGCACTATATTGTGGATGCCACTTCAGAAGAGGAATCACAAATGAGCTCGGCTGTTTCTATTTCCGTCAATAGGCAGGGGCACATCTGCGGGTTGACCAAACGGGGTGGTGCAGGCCTAGATCCAAGCATCACTCTTGACATGGTATCGGTGGCAAAAACAGTAAGCGAGCAGCTGATAAACACATTGGATTCCCAGATAGCTGCTGCTGAAGCTGGTGAAGATGAATAATGACGCAGTGAGAATCTCTGATTATATCTAAATAGGTGGTTCGAGCAGGTCCTAGCTAGATGGAAATTGTAATTCCGATACTTTTAACACACAGCTGACGAAGACATTTGATTTGTTGTACGCATATTTGGCACCGTTTAACCAAGACTAGTATCATTACGCTGTTAAAGAGTTATTATTTTGGTGTCTTTTGCAGTCTAGGTCTCTATTGTATGATATGATCTCTCTCCATAGTTGGTATTTGCAAACGCTCGACTTGCAGTTACACAAGTGCCGTGCCACCTGGAGCAGAAACCCGAGAATCGGGTCTAATCGGAAGAGTTTGAGCCGGATTTTTGGAGCAACAAAACAAGAAGGAATGGCCTGAACTTAATTGCCATTCCTTATTTCCTCTAGTACCAGGACATAATGATTGAGATTGGAAGTGATGAAATTCAATTGACTTTACAACGTAAGGATGTGACAAACATAACTCAAGGGCACGATCCGCATTCTTTCGCACATACTGCCCGACAATAAGGGCAGAAAGTGTGTTAAAAGTTACCACAGTAGGGTGCTATCCAGTCTTCGCCATCAAGTTTCTGAACTTCAAAGACGAACTCAGAAGGCCCTTATCACGGTGCCCTGCAATCAGTGTATGGTAGGACACCACACTAGGGCTACAACCCATGCACTCCATCTCCTCGAGCACCTTAACAGCGTTCTCCAATTTTCCCAATTTACGGGAAGCAGCCATCACCCTATTAAGAGTGTAAACATTTGGCGAAATCCTACAACCCCGCATTTCTCTATACAACGCCAAAGCAACATCAGCTCTACGCAAATCAAGGTCCAGCCCCTTGGGTAAAGGGATCGTCCTGTGGGGTATATGAATTGGATTCCGATTCCTTTTCCCCAATTTCCCAGAAATTGTGGGGTTTGTAACGGTGGGTTCTTTCGGAATCGAATTGAGCAAACTCGAAAACTGACGAATTGGGAATTTGTTCATCGAATTGGGTTTTCTGGAGTTAAATTCTTGGATTGATTCGAGAGTTCAAATCAACTTCTGACCGACTAACCTTGATGGAGGGGCAGAGGATGAAGAAAATGGCGGGCAGTGAGCTCTGACTCTCTGATTCACTGCGGCAATTACAATCGTCGAGCAACAAGCGAGCACCGTCGTGCATTGAATCCCATGTCGAGCAGAGGCAACGGGAAATGTATGGCATTCGCCGGAGAAATGTATGACATTTGCCGGAGAAATGATAAATAGGATTATTAACAGAGAATTGTTATTGCCCTCTAAAATTTCAAATTTTCTTCTTTGGTGGTATCCACATGTTTTTTGTATGGCATTTGAATGAGAATAAAGAATCTGATTGGGAAGAATCAAAAGTGTGTGGGGCCCACACAAAAATTGGAATCCAATTCCAAGCAATCAGAATGATTTATTTCCCCTTATGCCCTCACTTACTTTCATTATTTCCAAGATTATCCTTAACTCTAAACTCACATTACGCACAACTCCATACATTTGCCGAAGAGAATAAACTATAACTTGAACGGGAAAATTTAGATATTAAAGTAAATACTTAAATTTATTTAAAAAAAAGTTTTTTAAAAATCATTTTAGTGTGTCTATGAAATAAAAAAGCAATTTAATTTTTTCTTACTATTATATACTATATCAAATTTTATTAAAAAAAATATATAAAATATTTGATTTGGGACAAGGTCATTTTAGTAATCATACTGGTTTATATTTTGATTATACTGAATTAGTAAACAGCTTTATGGAATTTTATTCCGATTCCAGACAGTTTTAGTAAACAACTTCAACATGAATCTGATTCTGATTCCGCCTCATTTCATTTTCTCCTCAATCCAATTATTCCTCAATTCAATTCCTCTCAATTTGATTACGGATTAGTAAACACGCCTTAAAGAGGAAAGCTTGACTCTTAAGATTGAGGAGTACTTCCTTAAAATGTTTTGTTACCGATTTACGAAACTTCATGCATATTGTAAATCATATTATAAAGGTCATATCTACAACAATAATAATAATAATAAAATATGAAATTTTTATAGTGTGATTTATAATATGAACGATTTCCACCAGATGCGCGAAGTTTTGTAAATCAGTAACAAAGTATGCTAAGAAGAAACTCCTCCTTAATCTCATCTATTGAGGAGCTAATTAAGTTAATTTCTTACCTAAATAAAAATAATAATCAAATGGCACAACCAAACTCGAGGAAAAGAATTTGAGGAAGCTAAGCAACTTTTTCCATTGGACTCTCCTTCTGCAATGGGGATGGAGATGTGGGTTATTTCTAAGTTTGTTAAGGACACGTTTGCTCTCGTATTCAAATTCCAATTTCATCTCTATATATAAAGCCAAGCCTAAAGTGAATAGTGTTTTTGGGGTCACAAACTTTACAAAAAATAAGTGAACAAAAATGTCCCCAAAACAAAAAAGTTCAAAAGCAACCCAAAATAATGCATCAAATGTGGTAGTGATGTTTTCGTCATTTTAACAGTGTTTTTTTAATAATTAAATTTTTTTGTACAATTTTTTTTCTTTCAAATAATTAGTACCTCACAATAGGTTAGCAATAATGTGATTCAATCAGTTGTTCATTAAATATTATTTGCTCTATTTTTAAATACGTTCAAAACATTTTAATAGGTTGTAATGCCGATTATAAAAAAGATCTTTCGCACACGGATAATAATGTGATTAAATTAGTTGTCAAATGATATATATATTTTTTTTAACAAACGATATTATCTACACTAAGGACAGGGGGGTTGAACTTAGTCTCACAATGGGCTAACAATAATGTGAATCAATCAGTTATTTATTAAATATTATTTTCTCTATTCTTTATAATTAGTACCTCACAATAGGCTAGCAATAATGTATTCAATTAGTTGTTCATTAAATATTATTTTCTCTATTTTTAAACACGTTCAAAACATCTTAAGAGGTTGTAATGCCGTTTATAAAAAGGTCTTTCGCACGCGGATAATAATGTGATTAAATTAGTTGTCAAATTTTTTTTTTTTTAACAAACGATATTATCTACACTAAGGGAAGGGGGTGGGCTTAGCCTCACAATGGGCTAGCAATAATGTGATTCAATCAGTTGTTTATTTGTTTTTTTTTTTAGCAAACAATATTATCTACACTAAAGGGGAGGGGGTGGTCTTAGCCTCACAATGGGCTAGCAATAATGTGATTCAATTAGTTGTTTATTAAATATTATTTTCTCTATTCTTAATATAAATTTAATAGAGACCGATTTTATTATGTGGATTCAGCTGCTTTAATTGATTTATGAGGGGTTTGCTCTAGCATGATCTAAGATTATTCATTTACTTCAAATATTTGACTTTTCTTTTATCCATTTACGCATATAAATACATTTAAAACGTGTAAGTCACGTGTAGCATGCCATGATTCAAAAAATGCCTTCTGCATGCGCGTGAGTGCGTGCATGAAGGCTAGTGAATCATAAACTAAACACAATAGTTTGGTTGTAGTTGGATGTGCGTGGGTGCTTGGTGAATCAATAAACTTCATGGATATGGGATACCCAACAATCAACATGCATATAATATAAGTTAGGAATGAAGATTGTCGTACCAGTTGGCTATACCAAAAGATTTTTTGGCATTCGGAGGATTATTCTTCCATAGAAATCTCAAAAGATGAGAAGGTTGAACTAATCAAATTTCAACAAGTTTGAAAAATCAACTATTTATATATGAAGATCCTGATTGATGTGTTACGTTGATTTGAAGAACGGTTTTGAAGTTATGAAGTGAGACATTCAATTAAAATTAACAGAAAACTGTAATAATTGGAAAAAGGGTTGTCTAAATGGTGGGGTACTCATTAACACATGACCTAAAATAGGGGAAAAATCATATAGTTTACTTTTTAAGTCTTTAAGGAACAAGAGTGGCAAGTTCCAAGTTGGAATAATGCAATTTTCATCTTAAAAGGTTGTAATGCCGGTTATAAAAAAGATCTTTCGCACGCGGATAATAATGTGATTAAATTAGTTGTCAAATAAATATTTTTTTTGAACAAATAATATTATCTACATTAAGGGAGATGGGGTGGGCTTAGTCTCACAATGGGCCCAATAATGTGATTCAATCAGTTGTTTATTTTTTATTTTTTGAACAAACAATATTATCTACACTAAAGGGGAGGGGGTGGGCTTAACCTCATAATGAGCTAGTAATAATGTGATTCAATAAGTTGTTTATTAAATATTATTTTCTCTAGGTATATGATACATGATCAAAAAGCCCTTGTTTACAAGGCATAGAAAAGAACTTTTTATGGACTTAACCCATCTGTAAACAATCCTTTTGAACTAAGAAGTCTAAGTAAATTGTGACGCAAGTAATTAACTTATCTAAAGACTAAAAAGACAATCTGTTAAACAAAGATAATAGTGGCATGCTCAGATCTTCATTAGTTTTGATTGTGAGCCTGAAGACCTACCAAAGGCCCCATAAAGGCACATTTCAAATTAATTCCAAACTCATGATGCAGAAAACCAAGTAGCAAACCTTGACTGACAGGCAAGACAAAGGGAGTTATGCGAGGGACATTCTAGCCCGAACAGCAAGCACTCTCTTATTCTCTCTCTCGCTTTCTCTATCCTTGAAGCTGTGCAAGGCCATACCATTGATAAACCCTCACCCTCTGCAACACCACCACAATCCTCACCCACTCCCTCAATCCCATCGAACTCAAACACCCCCAATCGTGAATGACCAAAGACCCATGTCATTTTCCAATCTATCCATTGGATTTGGAATGTAGAGAGGGCAAGAAGAACATTTGATCTTTCAGGGCTTATACCTTTTCAATGGCACGTGTCAGCCAAAAAATAAAGCCCTAACCCAGCTGAAGCACAACGAGCACACACGCAATGGCACAATCGTAATTCAGTCAACATCAAAGCACATTTTCATAAACAGGATGAATAGTGCCATTTTGGAAAACTATTTTAGATTAAAGTAAAATAATATAGTGGCAGTGATCGAAGTTTATTTTTTTGTACATTGTTAATTTTATGAGTGAAGAAAAATTTTCAAAGTAGTAAGGCCCATATATGTTATCAAGAAAAAAAGGGCCATCTATCAATCTCTGACATATGCATAAACCAT